AGATTATTTTTGGTATGAGAAGCTCCACACATAAACCCTTAGATATGTCTAAAGAACGTAGGATTGTATGCTGAACATCATCAGAGTCATTCCTATCTCAAAACCCCCTCTCCGTGAAAACAAGTCAGTCATTCAGCGTCTCTGATCCACGAGCAGTGAAGTAAAGCTCATTAGTTTCCATCCATGGTGGTACATGAGGCGGTGCGAGCTGGAAAACTCAGCCGCCTGTCAGAAAGTTGTGCGCCGAGTTCATTTGAAGTTTGCTTTTGTTTTTCACTCTTCCTCCTCAGCTGTAACATTTCTGTGGCATGTTGATGGTTTTCTGCAGGAATGGAGGCTGATGGTCCTCAGTTTGGAGTGTTTGGGTTGTTTAATTAGTTGACATAAAATAGAGAAACGGTTATGTTCTGGGAAAATGTTCCTCACTCGCATGGGAGACACTCGAGTGAAATAATGAATATTTTTCTGGTGCTTACTTTGTCTACAGATTATTCTGTTAAATTTTAAATCAGTCTGCAAAACAGGATATTGGTAAATGAGTCAAAAAGGTGCGAACAATGATTTATATTTATTTGTACAGCAAAATGTGAGGTCTAATTATTGAGTAAAGTTTCTTTCAGCTGTCAGAAAAGTACTCCTTGATATTTATTGTTTTTTTGTTTGCTTGTGTTTTATTTACAGTACTGTGGTCTGCTTGAGGAGTTATTCAAGCTTCTTGAAGATCTTTCAAAAGCTTTCTTAGGAAATTGCCAGATTGTTTTATTAATTTTCTGATCATTGCTGAAAATATGAGGAAAGTGGAGGACAAAAAAATAAATGACAGGCCAAAAAAACTACAGCGTTAACAGAGAGTCAGGTTTTTAGGATAAAATAAATATTGTAGCAAAAAGCTGACACAGACTGAGACATGAAAACTCCTTCAGTTGATCAGTTTTTATGTCAAATTTTCATCTTGGAGCTAAAATTTGCATTTGAGTTAAAACTATGTTTTCTAACTAATAAATTATGTGTTAACCCCAACACTGGTTCTTCATAAATTTAGAAGCATGTATTTCTAATAGTTCAAAGTGACCCAAAGAAACCTTCATGTGAAAATGGTCACATTGTTGCTGCTTTTCTTTCAGCTGCAGGGTTTGCGCAGCACGGTGGCGCAGTTGGCAGAGCTGCTGCCTCTCAGAAAGCAGGCTGCTGTGGTTCAAATCCCAGTCTGGGGGGCCTTTCTGGGTGGAGTTTGTATGTTCTCTCTGTGCATGCATGGGTTTTCTCCACAGCTTTCCTCTATCAGACAGACAACTGATTGGTAACTCTAAATTGTCCCTAGGTGAGAGTGAGAGAGTGAATAGCTGTTTGTCTCTATGTGTCTCTGTGATAGACTGGAGACCTGTCCAGGGTGTCCCTCGCCTCTCGCAGAGTGACTGCTGGACATGGGCACTAGTAACCCCCGCGACCATCTTTTCAGCCAGTGGCTGTTTAGTTTCCCTGATGTAAGACTGATCACAGCCCTCCTGACACTGAGCAGCATACACAGTATTACTCTGTTTGTGCCGGGGGAATGGATCTTTGGGATGGACCAGCTTTTGCCGTAATGTATTTTGGGGTTTGAAAGCCACTGGGACGTCATCCATCCATCCATCCATTTTCTTTACCCGCTTATTCCATTTTGGGTCACGGGGGTCGCCGGTGCCCATGTCCAGCAATCACTGTGCGAGGGGCGGGGTACACCCTGGACGGGTCGCAAGTCCATCACAGGGACACATAGAGACAAACGAGACAAACAACCATTCACTCTCTCACTCACACCTAGGGACAATTTAGAGTTACCAATCAGCCTAACATGCATGTTTTTGGTCTGTGGGAGGAAACCGGAGTACCCGGAGAAAACCCACGCATGCACGGAGAGAACATGCAAACTCCACCCAGAAAGGCCCCTGGACCGGGGTTTGAACCAGGGACCTGCTCGCTGAGAGGCAGCAGCTCTACCAGTTGTGCCACCGTGCTGCCCCACTGGGACATCATATTTTACTAATTGTCACCTTCTCACAATGCTCTTATTGCCAGTATCATCAGCCCTCTGTGAATAGCAAGTAGCCACCCAGGCATTAACGATCAGTCCTTAGGCTGATGGTCTTCCTTTTTCATGTGAACAGCTAGTTTTGGACCAGCAAACTGGTTGATCCACTTTGAGAAGGTGCTATTTACAGTATAAGACTGTGTTTGTTGCAGCTCCTCAGACTGCCGAAGTCTTTTGGACAAAAGACGAAACGTTTATTTATTTATTCATATTTTTTGTTTGTCCAGAGGACATGACTCACCTTTGTTAGATTTTTTTTCTACCTGGATTGTCAAGTATGCATCAGGGTAACAGGTCAAGAAGTCCGGATTTCTTCTGTTCCACTGCCTTGAATGACTGACCATTTACACCATATGTGTCAAACTCAAGGCCTGGGGGCCAAATGTGGCCCTCAATGACATCTTATCTGGCCCCCAAGATGATATGTGAAACGTCAAATACTTCAATCTCTTGATTTTTTTCAGTAATTTTTTATTATGATGTCAAAAGCACAACAGAGAACATCAAATGAGACCAATCAAACACTTTTTGAGGAACCTGTGACCAAGAAAAGATGTTGGTATCTGATTTGAGTTAATGTAGTTTTTGAAATTGGCCCTTAGTTTGAAAAAGGTTTTAATTCTGGCCCCCTTTTGTAAGTGAGTTTGACACCCCTGATCTACACCAACAACTGGTCTCCCTTCAGTTAAATAAAACAAAAAGTATATACATGTGCAACTTCTACATTTACTTCATAGAAGTGTATGACTCAAATCCTATGTTTTGAGAGCAACAGTGTAGTTGTATTACTCTGTAAAACGACATTAGCATTCTCAAAGGTGAGATTTACTAGAATGTTGCGTGACGACAAAAAACATCACCTTTTATGAGCTTAATGAGTTACTGACATGCAGGTAAATTACTGTTTCATGACTTAACACTTTTTTTAAAAGCTTAATGTAGTGGAGTCGCAGACTTGAGTTTTCAAGCTCTCTCCTTCTCTTTCTGCCTATGTAGGGCAGCCCATGGATCAGCTGACATCCCCATCCACCCACATACCCACACAATCTTGTTAAAGCATGCAGTTAATCTGAAGAGGAAAATGACTCTCTCCGCAAGCAAGGCGTGCTTTCATCAACCTTTTGTATTGTCCACATCTCCCGGCCACATTCTCCCCAAACTCTGGAGCCTATAGGACGAGCAGCGGCCTTTTGCTGGCCCTGCATGATGTAATTCGCCTGCAAGTGACTTTGTGAACTGAGAATGATCGGCGCTCAACGACAAGCAAAGACAAAATTACATTAGTAGAAGAACTGGCGTCTCAGTGGGGACTCTCCGTTATTATTTTCTCCTCTTTCTCCTAAAGAATGGTTCTCTCATTAATTATTCAGGCCAAAGAAACGCAGAGCGCTCTCCAGAAAATCCTTTGGAAGTAGCCCTCAGTCATTGTTTTAGAAAATCTTTCTCATATTTTCAGCATTTTTTTGTTGTTTTTTTACAGTGCGACTTGAGAGGGAGGGAAAACACACAAATGCTCTCTTTCTCCCCACTCGGGCGGTGTCTTTCTTTCAAGAGCTTATTGGAAACAAAGAGTCCAAACTTGTTCAGAGCCTCGGCTCCTGACATTCTGCTGAAGGCCAGGTGAAGTATGGCAATTTGACAAACACAGATACAGGGCAGTGCTGGAAAGACCTTTGATTGAATTGCCACTCACTGCCGTCGCTGCTCTTCAATCGCAGATGTCTCGCCCGAGTGCAAGAGACTCAGAGTGAAAAGGGTCATCCATAAACGCGGGAGGGCTGCATCCAAGCCCTCATCTGACAGGAGAGTTATTGTCTGGATGGAGGGGATGGGGAGGCTGTTTGTCCCCATCGTTAGGTAGCTCAAAACCTTCAGACTCTGGGCTCCAGTTCAAACGTTTCTCTGTTCTTGTTAAGGTTTTTAAAGAGTCTCTTGTTTTTGTGGGCTGTAGAGGAATCTGCCAAAAGCACCTTCCATCTCTCACAAGAGAGAGAGAGAGAGAAAGCAAATCCCATTGAACTTATGCAAGTCTCACATAATCAGGAGTGTGCTTCTTCCAGCCATTTTAAAAATGCACTCAGTTCTGAGACGGGCTTCATGGGCTGATTGTGCTCGAGAGGGAAATAAATTTTGGAGAGCGAAGCAGACCTCTTCGCTTTCCTCCTACTTGTCACGAGGTGCCGCTAGATTGATTGCATTTGATTATTAATTGGAAAGCCACTGCCTGAAGGTGACTAAAAGTGTATTCATCACAAGCGCCTCCTCGCTCCTTGATTTATCTTGTAAACAGACCCGTGGAGGAGATTTTCATGCTAAAACCAAACCCATAATGAAGTTGAGCGCTGCCACTAACCATCATGCATGTTGCAGCCATGAGGAGGAGAGTGATGCTGTGCTCCTGTTGATTTGGCAACACTGCCATCTCATGGTGCACAAAGTCAAATAAACACATCTCTGCCTTATCATTTTGTTGGAAATACATTTTATTTAAAAAAGTTATTCAATTAAAAATAGTGCATTATCAGATGTTTCCACCACCAGCTAATTCATCAGCAGCAGCCTCATTTTCTACACAACTCTCCTCAGACTGTAATAAAAACTGTTATAATTCCTGTCTGCTAATTAAAGAAATTAGTTCAACGGCAAAGCACAGAGAAGTCCTTTGTCTTATAATAACTTTATGTCTCTGAGAAAGCCACAGCTCTTGTGTTGGTGATTTAAAGTTCTCTTTTTGAAAGGGTTTATCCAAGGGAGCTGCAGAAATTCACATCTGATCTTTTTAGTGTGGATATTCTCTTCTCTTACGCGCCGTTTCTTGTCATCAAACCTCCAGAGAGATGAAAGTGTCTGAATGAGGAATTTAAGAGATGGGTTCAGCTTGTGAAAGCCATTCCCTCCCCCTGAGGGCCAGAGTCATGCCTCATGACATTTACAGCCTTTCTTTACCTGGACAGCTCTGTGATCCTTTATCTGCTGCCATCTCCACATCTGGATGACAGCTCGGCTCTGAACGGTGTCCCTCTTCAGCCTCTTGTTCGTCTTGCTTACTGCTCCTCGGGGCTCGGCAGCGGAACAACGAAGCTTCGCACTTTTCCACCAACGACTCGCGGAGCTGCTGCTCGCACTGCACCACAAAGATCCTGTAAAGCTCTAACAAGACCACGAGGATGTTCTTGCAGGTGAAGAAAATCATGAGCTGGTTGAGAACTTGCTCTTGCACCATGAGGTACAGACGATAAACCAGGAACGGGCCGTCTTGGAGTCCAACTGTGAGCAGCAAGCTCCATGCTTCACTGGAGCAGCAGGAGGCAACTGAAGGTGGAGGTCGGTGACAACAGTGGAGACTCCCCCTGCCCCTTTGAAGAGTCTCGCTGTTTGGGGGTCGGGTCTGGGTGAGAACCAGAGGAAACTGCATGAGTGCCCAAGAGAAGAGAGCCAGGCCAATGACAACAACCGCCTTGTTGGTTTTGACTTCTGGTTCTTTGAAGGTGTCAAAAATGTCCAGGATGTCAGCGCCCAGTCCTATATACACCATGAGAAGCTGGGAGAGCTGATCCCGGGACATGTCCCCTTTGGGCATGAGCCATCGCCCCAAAACCAGTACTATGAGCATGGTCTGCTCCAGTCCAGCCACCCAGTTCTCCGGCTCCAGCTCCGCAATGTCCTGGGTGAAGAAAAACGTAAATTATAACCTCATTGAAAGTGAGATTATTATTCTCATATATAAAGTTAGAGCTCACACTGTTTTTTAACATTCCCTTGGTGCAGGAAAAGATCAGCACAAATGCTCTTAATTTCTCTGCCCTTTTGATTTGAATAAGAAGCTGTCCAGTTTAATTGTGTGAATGTTTATGATGTATTCACACTATTGTGATCCATTTTTCTTCCGTACATTTTCCAGCATCTTTCTCATTCCAAAATGTTTGTGCTATTTCAGCAAATCATAAATCAAAACGTTCAGCTCTTTCAGCACAATCTTGCTCTGACTTTTGGTACTGGTGCATGTAGGAGTTGTGGTTTTGTCCTTGGTGTTGTGTTCATGTCTGTGTTCCCCTGATCCTCTGTGTCTCTATAGGGTTTGTGTTTATTTGGTGTCTAGCCCCATCTTGTGTCGTGTTTATGTCCTGCGTCTTCAGTCTCTGGCAGCTGTGATCACTCACAGGTGCCTTCACTTTGTCTGATTGCTGTTTCCTCTATATAAGTCTGTGTCTCTGCGTTAGTCTTTGTCCTGGCATTGTCTCCTGTCCACCGGTGATGACTTGTCCATTGTGTGAGTACCTCATGTTCATCTTTGTTTGTTTTTGCTGCCCCACCAGCTCTTTTGATTTGTTAATAAATTATTTATTTTATATACCTCCTGAGTCTGCGCCTACTTGCCTGCACAACTGGGTTCACCAGCACCAATTTGTGACAGTGCAACTTTAGCCTTTTGCAATATTTAACCCTTTCTACCATTTTTTCCTCATAGAAAATGATTCAAGCTCATTTTACATCCTTCAAATCATTACAGGTAGATCTATTTACAACCTTCTTGCTCCTTTCACACTCTGTTCTGGTTCAGCTTCCTTGTGCAAATTTAAACTTTTTTTTTCCCCAGCTGTATTCAGCTAATTTCAGCCTTTTTTTTTTTTTGTCTTTTTTTTTTTGTCTTTTTTTTTGTTTGTTTTCAGATGTTTTGAGATCTTTTCAACATCTTTATGCTAACAACATTTTGTGCTTCTTCTAACTTCGTTTGGCTAGCTTGTTATGCTCCTTTCAGCTTATTTATGCATTTCAGCTAGTTGTTGTGTTATGCTCATTTTAGCTTTTTCAGCTAATTCCACATTTTTCACACTCATTTCAATTTTTGTGTTATTTCTGCGTTTTCCTGCCGATTTACACTTGTTCTACATTTTTCAGCTATGTTTTTAGCATGATTTTTTTAAGCTAATTTCAGCTAATTCTTCTGCAACAAGCATTCAAACTGCATTTTTGCATAAAATGCTAATTCTCTAGTTGCACTAAGGAATTGTTAGTTATTTTTAAGGGGTAAGTCACATCTTTTAGACAACAAGTTATATATCTGCAACAAGTAAGGGAAATTCATTGTTCATAACCTTGAAACTGTTTTCAAAAGAATTGAAAAAAAAAAAATTTTAAGGACATTAGAAGGGAAAAAAAAACTAAAGTTGTTTCAGTTTTAAATTATTCTGCATTTATTTTAATGGTTTCAGTCCACTTCAAATGCATTGTACTGACAGTTATCTGTTTTGAACTAAACTGTTTAGTGCGTGTGTGTTTATTTTTTAAACTGGTCCCTTGACAGTTTTTTATCAGCATCATAAAATGGTGCAATAAAGATATAAAACACATCCACACAATTTTTGTCATGACTCCTGTGAGTTGACTCGGTGATGGGAGGAATCATTAATTTTCCACTGAGCAACACCCCTTTAGCTTCAGATTGCTCAATTTTCTATTCCTGAAATATTTTGTCCTCATTTCTTATAATCAGACACCTGATCTGGGGTGCAACCGGGAGGCAAAAAAGCTCCCAAATCCCAGATGAAAGAAGCTGCACTGAAACCACCTCCAGAAGGGAGGATTTAAGACGTTTTTTCAGGCAGGACTCTATCTGGAGTTTATCTCAGTGACTCTGTTACACATTTTCTGCAACTAATAGTTTGTCCACCTTCTTGCGAGATTTAAATCTTATCGGTTATCCGGTGCTCCTTTAATGTGGCTGCATGTAATGTGAGGCAGGAGAGGGCAGTTTCGTGGTGGATCTCTTACCACTGTGACCGGGAGGTGCAGCAAGTGAAGCTCGTGGCTGGAGGAACTGTTGAGAGGAAGCTTGGACTGTAGCAGACTCAGCTCAAGAAACCAAATGGATGGAATGACAGTGCTGAGATAGAGGAAAACCATGGGGGAGAACCTAAAAGAGGGCCACCAAAAGAGAGGGAAGGAGTCAGAAAAGGTGAAGTAGATTATTTCAGTACCATATTTTACTTCCTTTGCCACCCACTACAGACAAAATAAAGTCGTTTTTTTTTTTTTTTTTTCCCCCAGAAGAAGCATCATATTTCAGACAGGCAATTATTCTCATCATATATGCAAATCCCACTTGACAGCCCAAAGCCTGCATGAGGAGCAATCTTCAAAGTAAGACTCGGCGAGAAAAGGAAAATGCCTGAAGAAAGTTGGTGTCTGGGGATGTTCGGCCTAAAAGCTTCAGCTTTTCAGTGAAACGTAGCTCGGCGCTGAAAGAGGTGTGACAGTAAACGCTCGTATCCAGTCGAGGCTCCCGTAAAATGAGGGTTGAGTCAATTTGTTGACTCAAGCTAGTTGGTCAGAAATGATTCGAGCCATCGAGATGTTCTCCAAGACTTCATAAAGGAATGGTGACAGATGTGGCGGGATCGGTGCAAGACAGAACCACGAGGCAGCGATGGAAAGGATTTGTTCTGACGGTGAAGGAGAGAAAAGAGAATTTAGAGGCACAGATTGTTACGGGCCCAGTACAAGCTGCAGCTCACGGCCCAGGGCAGATGGGTTGTAAAAATGTTCAGACACAAGTTCAGGAGTTATTTGCTTCTCACACAAAACGGCTTCGTAAAGTCTGCCTCAAACTTCATGTCAAGCTTTTGAGAAGACCCTCTGGTTTGTTCTTGTTCAGTTTTTACACAGAAACATTTGTTTTCTTAAAAGCTGCAACAGAAAAAGACTCATTCAATTACATTTAAAAGTACTTTTATTAAACCCAAAGGTAAATTAAATGTTGAAACTCATTCTCCTGGATTAACGAGTTGTAGATGCTGTGGGCAGGAGGATGTCTTGTAGCAGATGTTGATCTGTCACTTGGACATGGTGGGTCTCTCAGTCTTCTTGGTCAGACAAAAGTGATTTTACATCCAGAAAAGGAGGAATTAAAGTTTTCAAAAGCAACATGCCAGAATGAATATAAGAGCTACTCCAACATGCCGCCACCTGGAGTGGCGCAATTCTTAAACTTTGGAATATTTTCCAAAATGTATTTTGATGACTGAAAATGTTCTCAGTTATGTGTCCAAAATTCACAATAATACAATAGATATTATGATGTAGTTTGTTTCCTAATGAAGAAAAGTATTTCATCAGAAAACCTTTTTTTCTGAAACACTTTATTTATTTTTTTCTTTTATACAAATACATATGCAAAATGAACACCTACATATCTCAGTGGCAAATATTGTACTTTGAGTATTAGTAAGGGCAGCACGGTGGAACAGTTGGTAGAGCTGCTGCCTCTCAGTGAGCAGGTTACCCTGATTCAAATCCCAGTCTGGGGGTCTTTCTGGGTGGAGTTTGCATGTTCTCTTTGTGCATGCGTGGGTTTTCTCCAGGAACTCCAGTTGCCTCCCACAGAGCAAAAACATGCATGTTAGACTGATAACTCTAAATTGTCCAAAGAGTGAATGGTTGTTTGTCTCTGTGTCCCTGGGAGGACTGGAGAACCGTCCAGGATGTCCCACACCCCCTGCACAGTGACCCCCGCCACCCTACAAGGAATAAGTGGGTAAAGAGGATGGATGGATGGATGGATGGAGTATTAATAAATTAAAAAAAAAAATTTTGCTGGTTTGAGCTTCTGTTCTACTTGTGTTAACTTTCCAGTTCAATTATTAATTTCTCAACAATTATAGCAAAATATACATTTAGCGTTCACGCTGCATTTTCACAAAAATACTACTTTTATTGCCCCACCATCAGTTTAACTTTTACAATCACATGTGTAAAACTTCCACCTTATGACTGAAGTAAATGCAAGGCAAAACATTATTTTAAATCCTATAAATTTGTTTTTATGTAAATCAGACAGATAATTGAAACAACTCTTTGATTTTCCTTTTCCAATCACTGTCACCAGATTCCATCATCTTTACCCACTTCTTCCTTTAGGGTCACTGGGGCCACTGGTGTCTATCCAGCTATCGCTGTGTGAGAGGCAGAGGACACCATGGACAGGTCTTCAATCCATCACAGGGACACATGGAGACAAACGAAATGAGACAAACAACCATTCACTCTCTCTCTCACACCTAGAGACAATTTAGTTACCAATCAGACGTGCATGTTTTTGGAGAGGGGAAAAAATCCACACATGTAGAGAACATGAAAACTCCACACAGTAAGGTCCCCAACTGGGATTTGATTCAGTGACCTTTTTGCTGAAAGGTGGCAGCTCTACCAACTGAACCACTGTGCCATCACCAGATACCAAAATACCTTTAATTTACCAAAATTGGTCAAAATAAAAATCCTGTTTTAAAAAATAAAAAAAAATTTTAATGTAAGGATTACCATTTCCACTCTGCGTTCCGGGTGCATTTGAGAGTGACCGCCATTTCTACGCCCAGTAGAGCCACACCCGTCAGCAGCAGCCAGTAAAGGGGCTCCCCTTTAACAGCGATAACTCTCCAGACTGTCACGACCCCGTGGACCGCGAACAGGAAGCGACTCAGCAGAGCCAACAATATGTTCAGCAGGCGACACATCATGCATCAAAGAGAACCTGCACAGAAAATATTTTTAGTGTGGAAAAAATATTTTAGGCAAATATAAAACAACTTTTTAACAGAGCCATTTTTAAACAGGTTTTATGTATTTGGTTGCCACTGCAGCAGTTATTTAATAGTTCAGCTTCGTTCTTGGTGCGTTTGCTGCTCGACAAGGCAATAAATAATCAGCAGCTTTTGTCTTCAGGATTTTAGAAGATCGTTGGCTTTTTACAACTGTGTGAGGAACTTTATGTTTCTAAGTTCTCCTCTGAGAAGCCTCTTGGATTGGAAGTGAAATGTCTTCAGCTACAGAACAGAAGTCCAGTTGTTTTTGATTTACTGTATTTTTCACTGTGTAAGTCACACATTTTTGCATAAATTTGCAAGTCCTGCGACTTATACACCAAAGCCACAGTTTTTTTTTTTCCCCCCCCCCCCCCCCCCCATATTTATAACCCAATTTTTGGCTGACATCTGATTTCATTCATTCTGACATGGAAAATATTGAACACTACCATTTTCAGCCACTAGAGGGCACTCGACCTTTATAGCAATCTAAGTGTCACATTAATAGGTAAAAGTATGTTAATGAGACGCTTGGCTTGGCATACCAAGCCACCTTTGTCTTGCTCTGGAACTCCTGGAGTAAATATCAAATCAGCTGCATTTCGCCGCCCAGACGAAATGTCAGCTGATTTGACCATTAAAGTTAATTTATTAAGGAAAAGTTCAACTGAGACACACCTTTGCTATAATTTCAAGCAAACAAATAATTGTTTTTAAGTATTAATCTTGTTAAAGTCCTGACGTTCAAATCTTGTTTTTCTTACGGTTCTCACTTCTTCAGAGGTCGCCACAGCGAACGAGCTCACATGAAAGATTAGGCAATCGTTTTACTCCGGATGTCATCCCTGATCAATCTGGCCTCGATCCTACGGCCTCAGAATCACAGGACCGCTGCACTGTAACCCACCAGACACGACCAAATATCTATTGTTTGAAAAAAGGTTATCAGCAAAACACTAAGAGGAAACTGATGTGAAAACTGATCAGATTTACAATATTTAAATACTTTTTTCCTAAGATTTTACAAATAATGAAATAAATTCTTCAAACAGAATGGTTGAAATGATGCTGCCAAAAACGGCAAACATATAAAAAATGCTAAAGAAATTATGAGTACCCACATTTCACATCCCTTCAAATCCTTTTGTTCAGCTTCCATTATTATGATGTAATGTGTTCGTGTACAAACAGCCCTCGCCGTCAGTCAACGAGATAAACGCCTCAGATCAGTGGGGGGGTTCACAGCGAGCTGTGATTAGGAAGCAACAGTCCAACAAATTGATGCAGTCGATCCTAAACGACTTCATGAAGCTTTGCAGTTTAATCTGGATTACTCCTGGGACTCGGAGACTTAAAGCTTGAGCCCAAAACAGATGCAGTTTAGAAGATGTTCTCATTTGTTTTGATTTGATACAATCATGACCTCCTTTTGATATTTTTCCTTTAAAACATGTACATTTTAAGCTACTGCGCTCGACAAAACATTTCTCATGTTACTGGTAGTAGATTGTTCAGTTGAGTAGAGCAACATTTTATGGAGGGTGGAATGTGATAAAATAAATAAATGCATAATAATTAAATGTATCGTTTAATTATTCAATACATCATCAAATGTACAATTAAACTATTAAATTAAAATTCTCCTGCTGACATTCAAGTGCATTAACGGCCTTGCGCCATCATACATCTCCGACCTTCTTCATCCTTATACTCCTTCTCGGGCTTTGAGATCATCAGACCAGCTGCTTTTGGCCGTACCAAAAACCAGGCTGAAGCTCAGAGGAGATCGAGCGTTCTCAGTCGTGGGCCCTAAACTTTGGAACAATCTGCCCATCAACATTCGACAGGCCACCTCAGTCTCTGCTTTTAAATCTCTCCTAAAAACACATTTATACTCATTGACATTTAACACAGGGTGATCAGCTTTAGATCTGGTTTTTCATTGATGCTGATTCTGTTTATGCTTTTGTTATTATTCTTATTTAACACAATGGTCATCCAATCTGATTTAGTATTTCATTGTTTCTGACTGAGTTTATGCTTTTTGTTATTATTTCCTTGACTTTTGACACAACGTGATCTGATTTAGTATTTCAGTGTTTCTAATTGTTTTTGGTTTTATATTTTTATTCCATGTGCTGTAAATATATCTTGCTACTTTTTATCTGATGAGGTGATATTTTTGTTAAGCACTTTGGTAACAGTTTCTGTTTTAAATGTGCTCTATAAATAAATCTGACTTGACTTGACTTAAATGCACAATTAATTAAATGTCTGATGAAATAAATAAATGTACCTTTCAAATTCTTTATTTGATTTATTTATTAAATTTTGTCACATTCCACCCTCCATAACATTTAGGATCTCTGTCTCATGAGAAAACCAACATTTCTTTATTGATCAGTTTTAAGCTCCAGAGACCCTGCGTCCACATGGGGACATTACGTTTTGGCTTTGCTGTACCTTATACTTCACTCTGTTCAATAGTGTTTTATACTTTAAGCCATGTTAATGTTGTTGTGTTATGCTGTAAAAAAAAAAAAGCCCATTCTCCCCATCTGAGGACTTTTTTTTTTTTTTTAACATAAGTATGTCAACCATGTAAAAAAAAAAAAAAAAAAAAAATACAACTTCCTGTTCGAAGAGGAAGCTTTATTTATACACAGATCGGATCCATCTAATCACAAATAACTAGGAGATATGAAAATTGCATCGTAAACCGGAGCCCAGGTCTCAGGAGGTTAAATGTTGCTGACGTTTTCGTATTTCTTTGTGCTAATAAAGCATTTTCATAACTAAAACAAACGAGAAAAGGAGGAAATGTAAACTCTTTCCTCCCATCTTCTTTCCAAACTGGCTTACATCAATGGATTTTATAAGTGTGCCTTTTCAATAACGTGCTTTTATTTTGGCAGGAGGGTTTTACGTCTATGCTGCTCATGCAGCTGTGAATGCGTTTGTCCTGTCATTTTATTAGACATGGATCCAACAGAGAAACTTACATTTTACATTTAAAAAAAAAAACAACAATTAACCAAGTTGATGAAATGTGTATGTTAAAGGCATGCGGTACAAACCTAAAGCACCGTGTATTTCCAAAAAGAAAGTCCTCGGATTCTCTGTGGTGGGAAGAGATGATAGTCACACACAGTGAGCCGGTCCTTATAAAACCGCCTCCTCCCAGAGCCACTGGAGGAGCAGACATGTCAGAGGTGTGTATTCCTGTGTGTGTTCAGTGGGGAGTGACTGAAGGAGAGTATCAGTGTTATTCTGTCATCTATAAACTGGAGTGTCTGCGTCCCCCTTACTCCCCTCCACGGTGCCATTGTAGGAGATAAGGTTTCCCGGCCCTTGTGCCCACATCTTCATCGCTGTCCGTCATGATGTCATCTTTTCTGGCCCAGAACAAAGTTATCTGCCTGGGAGAAAGCAGCCAGCCGGGCTCCCTGCTCAGAGAGCACCCAGCCCTGCCCTGCTCCCACCCAGTGCCTGCTCTGCCTTTTGCACTGCAGGCCCCGATAACACCGTCGCCCCCTGCATACAAGAACATGGAGCAAAAAGAGGGAAACGTGGTACTGATGGTCCTCTAATGCTTATTAAAGTCGCTACTGGTGCGTCAACAATAGATACTGATGGATTGATGCTCCCCAGAAATATCAGTCTACCACAGCTGTACATTTATGAACAAATGTAGACCAACATGAACATTCATGTTTAAAGCTTACTCTCAGTTTGGGCTCTGTTTAACTCTCCATCAGCTGTTCACAAATGTTATGCTGGGAAGCAAAATTTGTCAGAGCTATGTCACTAAACACACTGCATCCAGGAAAACCATTAATAGAGACGGTGTGAGTGAAACAAAATATGATGCTGCAGGAAGCAAAATTCACACAATTAGTTTATTAAGCATGTTCCAGTGTTGGAAGCTAAACTCTTCTTCTTCTTCCTCCTCTTTCAGCTTTTCCCTTTTCAGGGGTCTCCACAGTGAGTCATCCTCCTCCATCTCACTCTGTCCTCTGCATCCTCTGTCCTCGTTCCAACTACCTCCATGTCCTCTCCAACTGCATCCATATATCTCCTCTTTGTCTTTTTCCTGGCAGCTGCATTTCTAACATCCTTCTACCAGTATACCCACTGTCCCTCCTCTGGACATGTCCAAACCATCTCAGTCTGGCCTCTCTAACTTTATCTCCCAGTTGTTCAGCCTGTGCTGTACCTCTGATGATCTCATTCCTAATCATATCCATCCTTGTCACTCCTAAGGAGAACATCACCATCTTCATTTCTGCCACTTCCAGTTCTTTCTCCTGTCTTTTTGTCCATGTCTCTGTCTCCAGATCTTGTAAACATTTCCTTTGACCTTTGCTGACACCCTGTTGTCACAAATCACTCCTGAAACTTTTCTCCATCCACTCCTGTTGTGTTCTGCTGAATTGAAATGAAATTAAATTGTTATTGCATAGAAAGGGCACCAGAGGGCAGTCTAAGATGTATGTTTAAAAAGATGCTGTATGCAGGGAGATGAAGAAACAAAAAAGTAAGGAAGCATAGGAGAACTGAAGCTCATCCACGTGTCTGCTTATTTTTCATTTAATTCAATCTTGCAATCCACAACAACTCCATCCTGCATGGACTCTCTTTGTCACCTCTTTACCACACTCCCCATTTTCCTGGACATTGGACTCGAAGTACTTGAAGTCCTGCACCTTTTTGACCTCTAAACCTTGTAGCCTCACTGTTCCACCAACCTCCCTCTCATTCACACACATGTACTCTGTCTTACTACAGCTCACTTTCATTCCTATTCTTTCAAGTGCATACTGTACCTCCACCTCTCCAAGTTCTCTTCCACCTGTTCCCTGTTTTCACCACAGATCATGTCATCTGCAAACATCATAGTCCACAGGGATTCCTGCCTGACCTCATCTGTTAGTCGTTCCATCACCAGAGCAAACAAGAAGGGGCTCAGAGCCGATCCTTGATGCACTCCCACCTCCACCTTGAAGCTATCTGTCACTCCTACAGCACATCTCATCACTGTCCTGCTGTCCTCATACATGTCCTGTACCAGTCTGACATACCCCAGATGTTAGTATGTTACTGTTACTGGTACTGGTATGTTACTCTAACATACCAACCACTCCAGAGGCTCAAATCTAATGTTGTTAATAATGATTCAAATTCAAAATTGCTCTAAACGTCTTGATGGTTAACTGCATAAATATGTTTTTTTAGTGAAGTTATTGAAAATAAATATTCCAAACAAAAATGTTGTTGTTTTTTTTTTCCCAAAATAAAATCTAGATTTTCAGAGCTTGTTTCAAAATGCATTATTCATTCAACCTTTTATTTATAAAGGTTAATCCCATTGAGCCATGGGGACTCATTTACAAGAGAGACCTGATAAGGTCTATTTAAGAGTTTATCTTTGATATTTGAACTAAATAATTTTAAGTCATTCATCCTTTTTTTTTTTTTGTATTTTTATTACTTATAAAGTGCCTCTCAACAGTTATTTATGGTCCTTTCACTGTCTTACCTTCTTTTTTTGTTGTTGTTGTTGTTGTTGTTTTTCTGACATTTTTGCCTCAGACAGCTGATTAAAAAGGTTGTAGAACGACTGAACAAGGTTTATCTATTAAGTATTTAAGTTTGCCGTGTTTTTGACTCCACAACATCAGTTTATCTTTAACTCACTTTTTTACAGTGAATCAGTCGTTGGGGCTAATTTAGGACATGCTGAGCCCGTTGCTTCTTACCTGACAATGATTCACATCACAGCTTTGCTGCCATATGAATTTACCACAACAGCTTCTATTTCAGCACACATACTGGTGAAATAATAAAAATATACTTACGAAAAGGAATGGAAATTAGCTGTAGCTTTCTAATTTCAAACTTGTTTAGGATTTGGTGTCAAACATAAGTTTTTGCTGCTTATTCTGTCCCTGCTTTGTGTTAGAATTTATTTATTTTATTTCATTAAATATTGAAATGAAAGTTTAGTTACAAGGAAAACATCCAACTCTTTTTGTCATACTAAGACTAAAATCTCAGAACAAAATATTAAGAAAACTAATCTTGCACCTCGGGCTATCTTCAAAGATTCTATTTAATTCTTATGTCTTTTGGTTGATATTCTGATTTCAGGAGGTTTTGGACCCAGAATGCAGACAGAACGCAAGGAGCTCAAAAACAAACTTATTTTTATTATAAACCAAAAACGAAAAGCTGTCATGGCAGCAAAACTTACAAAACTCAAGGAAATAATCACAGGAATGCTCAAGGCTGGTGAGTGAAAACAAACCAACAGAATATACAGACAGAGGATGATGGGGAAGTGGAAACAGCCGAGCTAATTACAGACTGGGAGCAGGTGAGACTGGGTGGAGCAGAACTGACCGAGTGGGGAAAGATTGATGGCACAAACGAATAAAGAAAAATACAAATGCTAGAAGAAATAAACCAAAAACATTGAAAACACATTGATCCTGAAAGATGATTTATTAATGAATGTTTCCTCATTCAAGCTATTGAAGTACTTCATAAAAGTCATTTAATTTATTGGGGAAAAAACAGAGAAGACAGTGAATCTATAGTTTGACCTGCTGTGATTAAAGTTAATGCCTGGAAAGAAGAACAGCTTTCTCTTCATGCATTTTTAAATCTATTTACCAGTTCATAGATGATATGAAATTATTATTAGACCTCAGTTCTCAACCTATAATTGAAAAGTCATATTTAAAAGCCTAAGTATTTTGGGTTTGGATAATCGCACATAAGCAAACTACAGCCACCGGTAGGAGTTTAAACTTTCCCTTTTCCTCCAAATCAAATCCAGCGAGCAAAACTTTAAGGTTAAAGCAACAAACTGCAGCAAGAAGAGACTCACAGATGCACATTCAGGTGGTGGAGGAGGTCCTTTAATAACAAGGAAACAGGCAGAACTGGCAGGAGGAGATAAGACTCTCCAGACGTCCGAAATGTGAAAATGAACACAAAAAAATGGGTGGAGGACCATAGAAGATAGAAGAAGAGTGGGGGGTAGTGATGGTGGAGGAAGAGGGTGAATAAGTTATCAGCCATGCAGAACAGCAGAACACCTCATCTCGTCATCCTCTCTCCTCAGACGAGTGTTGCGTTGTCAGATAACAGGCAGCCCACGGAGGAACATCAGGTTAACTGTGACCGTTTGGTTTTAAGAGTTATTTCTTCATTGTCCATAAAGCTAGATGAAAATCTGGTTATAATTAATGTTTTCGGTGTTTATGTGAACTCCCAACAGGCAGTTTATTACTTTGCCTTCGTACAACTATATTTAAGTCATCCGAACAGTGTTTTCAACTCATAACTGCTTTCAGTAATTACCAAATGTCTATTTTCACTTCAAGTCTTCTGAAGTTTTCCTTTTGCTGAAGCCTGCAGTATTTAGTCGGCTGCTCCGGTCTGCCAACTCCAGCAGTTTATTACGTTACAGCTCTGAATGGCAGCCTTTCTCTCCTCTTCACATTGTGTACGCCACCCAGTAGATCACATTCACCACGGCGAAAGTGAAAGGGAACACAGCCCTGGCGTAGATGTCGATGGTGTCCGCGTCGATGGGCTTGCAGACGCACTTGGAGCAACACTTTTTGTCCTCCTCGCTTTCCTCCGCCGGCCTGGACCTTCTCCTGCTCGGCTCGGGCTCCTCCGAGCCTCCCTCCCCGGGGATTTCACTGCTGGCGCGCTGCGACCGGCTGTGGCGATTAGAAACGACGACGCCCTGATTCATGCCGGTGACGGAGAGGGAAAACAGAACCATGGCCTGTTTGCCGTTCTTTACAACAGACTGCAGAGAGGAGAAAATCACATCAGCAGTTATCAGAAAGCATTTTTAAAAGAAACTTTAAAGTGGTCTGTAAGCAATGTACAGTAAAAAAAAACTGCAAAGTAGAGGTACAACAAATAGTAGTAGTTCATTTTTATATACATTAAGGCTTTATAAACCCTGTCCACACGCTTGCAATATTTTAAACAGTGTTTCTAAACTCTAAATGCTCTAAAAGAGCACAGCCTGTCATGATCTCCGCTCTCTGCCACCTGCAGCTCTCTTCCAGCCCAATTCTCCACTGCAATCGCACATCACTTCCCAATCTCCCTCCTTCTGTGTAAATAAACAATTAAAATGTAGATACTGTAATATTTTATTACAGTATTTGAATTGTAGAGAAGAGAAGCGCAGCAGAACATCAAAGGGTTAACCCTTCACGCAGCAGATGCAGCACGGAGCAGAAATGTATTTACTGATCAGTTACACTGAAACAACTGAACATAGAAGTTCTAAAGTCAGTAAAAATAACTTTTATATTTTGTGATCATGTCAATTTTACAATTACGTTGATTTTTAAGTTGGAAGACAAAAGTCGATCGGTGCATCTGGACAGCAAAGGGTTAACCCTTCACAAAGCTGCTGCAGCTTGGAGGAGAAATGTGGGCGTGGTAGAGAGCCGCATGTGGCAGAGAGCAGAGATCATGACAGGCTGCCGGAGGGAGCTTCTCCCTGCACCTAATTATTTAGCAGGTACTAAATGATTTAAAATAATTTCTTTAAAATTAACAATCCATGCCGCTTGTGCGGCTCATCCATCAATCAGCCAATTGTGTGTCATGTCCAATTTTACTTTGAAAAACCGCGAAAGAGCAAGTCCGCGAAAGGTGAACTGCAAAGTAGCGAGGGACTACTGTACTTTATTTAACTGTAAAAAGCTTTTTCCATAAGTTTTCTGTTGCTCCACAGACAGAAAGTAACAAAGTGCCTCAAGATAGGAGCCTTTTGATGCCTGAATGAGTCATAGGTCTGAGTTAGGGGACTTAACAAGCAAATATAACACATTCATAATAATAACTATAATATTAAACTGTTAAAGTTCAAATAAAAACAGTCGATGTTTGAAAGAGAAGTGTTGTTCAATAGGAGACCACTTTTAAAAATCTTAAAGAAGTCTGGTTCATTTTATGAAAAAAATAAAGGTAAAGAAAAAAGAAGGGGCTACTCAGGTGTTGTAGCATTTTAGCATTCAGAAATATTGCATTGTTACGACAATCTGAGCTCATTTTCTCATCGTCATTCACCTCATCATACAATCTGTCAGGCAATCTGTTTGCCATCATAAGGATTTTACACAAACTGCGGTTGCTGATTTTGTACTTTTCTAAATCAAAGGCAGCTGACAGTAAGATGCGAATCACGACGGTTCCCTGCAGGGAAATCATCCATTTTCTCATTTTCCTCTATAGAAATTCACTGTCTTGTTGAAGGTCAGTGTGATGGATGCTTGTCAGCACTTATGCTGCATATCCAGTCCAGGTTTTTGTTGAAAGGCATGCTCATTACTAACAAAACCTCCTGAATTTGTGCGTGGCTGTTTTGCTCAGACTGAGAAACATGACGAGGGTGATTTTCTCACCTCGGAGCTGAGCTTGTTTGCCTTCACCTTGGCCTTCTCTTTGAGCCGGTAGTCAGCGTTGTAGTGAGCGAAGGCGTATTCAATTAGTGCCGCAAATACAAACACATAGCAGATCCAGAAGTAGACGTCCAAGGCTTTGATGGCGGATGCTCGAGGCAAGGAGGAGCGGGCGCTCACCATCAGGGTGGTCATGGTGAGAACTGTTGTGATCCCTGTAAAACAAGTCCAGGCACAAATTACAAACTGAACTTCAGTGAGATTAGATATCAGACACAAGTGTTTAAGAAATGTGCATTCCTTAAAACATACCTATACAAAGTCATAAACCTGACGCCTGTAGTTCACTAAGCTCACTGTTGGACTTTAGATTTCACCTTTTTGTTTTTAAAGACACCCAGTTTCTTCAGAATGAAGATCTGCCTTAAAGTGGCAATTTTGTACCATCTGTCAAAACTTTGCTAATTTTGATTTGAAAAATCTAAATGTTTTCAGAAATAAATGGGATATTTATCAAGTTTCTTCTTCTTTCGGCTGCACCCTTCTTCAGTCACTGTGAAATAACTCGCATGAAGACTTGGCGGTTGTTTCTACTCCGGATGCCCTTCCTGATGAAACCAGAAACCACCGAGCTACCACATCTGTGGAGCAGAGAGCTGATATCTAGGGCACCTGGGGGAGCAGATGGTGGGGGTTAAGAGTCTTGCTCAAGGGCCCAGAGTGGGGAAAATGATGGTGGAGGCAGGTGTTTCATCATCCCCACCCACATTTTGATGTTGTTGGTCCAAGGAGTTGAACCGGCGACCTTCCGATCACAGGCCCAGCCTCTGCACCACCACTCCTCCAGGATCTTTATAAAGTTATTCTGCATTTATTGATAAATCCTACCTTATCCTAGGTAAACTAGGAAAGTTAGTTTAAAAAAACATGACTTTTAACTAATGAGCGTTATCTGTTCATCTTCATTTACTTTTGTTCTGATCCTGTTAATGTTCAAATAAGCCAGAATTTGGCTAAATGTTAATTAAACCAATTCCTCCATCTGCACCTCAGCGCCATACAATGAAACATTAACAAATCCAGATAAATTCAACACTGATCCTCCAACAAAAGCCTGCAACAAGGTTCAATAATTAAAGGGTTTTTGTTTCAATCAGTCATATGCATTGTTGATTTTAACCAGCAGAGGGCGTGCTAGTTAGGCACAGAACACATTTACTTGTTAAAAGAATAGACAAATCCAACCCAGACCATATTTAAATGTGCTGGTATTTCAGTTTGTGTTTGGTTAATCTGCACCTGGACCCCAGAACAAATCTTGATGCTACGTCAGAAAGGATTATTCCAGCGGCATCAGTGAGACATGAATGTGTGTTGCAGAGCTGTCTGCAGTACTATGCAATGTGTGACTGGTGTAAAGACTTGTCTACTGGCTTGATTCTTATCACACGTCTTCAGAATGTGCACAAATTCAATTTCTTCGACGCCGTTATCCAAACAGACCCTATCGCGTCTAAAAATAACAGAGTTGGTGTGTGCAGTTCTCTTAGACCTGGTGCAAAGCTGCAGAGGCTGTCAACAGACAGAAATGTTATATAACTGACTGAATACCTATTTATTATTGATATAGAGCTGAACGTGAACGGATTAATTTTTTTTTCTCAGAATCTTCTTGAAGCCCATAAATCAGAAACAAAGCAAATGTTGGTTAAAAAAAACACTCTGATGGACATGATTTGGAAAAAAAGAAAAATCAAAACAGGACTAATACGAACCTAAGGTTACACGAGCGGGAACTGCTGATTGGCTGATCCAAAAGGACACCCAAGACATGGCAACCAGGAGGATTGAAGGCATGTACGACTGGATGATGTAGACACCTCTGTTACGTCTGAGCTGGAAGCGAAGACTGAGCCTTGGAAATCGTCCCGCTGGGGAAAATAAAGAAAACACAAGTCGGCCATTTTAATTACAGAACCAAAATCTCCTCTGTTCTGTTGTAAGAAAACTTCAAATTGTAAGACATAAAATGTTGCAAACAGCCTCTTCCCAGCAGCAACTGCTCATATCTTCTGAATCTCCTGCCTGGCTCCAGGAAGTCTGTCTTCATCTATTCCTTCTACCCATAGAATATCATCAACAAACTATTTATTTATTTTCAGATTCAGTCTTCAGAAAGAATGAGTAAAGTTTTCAGACTTAATGGGCTACACTTGCAGGCAGAGCTGGCCCAAGCCTTCATGGGGCCCTAAGCAAATTTTGTTTTGGGGTCCTCTATTTCTGCTAATAATGCAGATTACTGCAATCAACAGTCAGATGATCAGATCATTCACTCACCTAACACACTGTAACTCTGACAGCCCTGTTTACATTATCTTATATGTATATATCATCGAGTGCAGGGGTGTCAAACTCATTTTTATTTTGTGTCACATTAAGATCATGAATGTCCTCAAAAGGCCGGACATGACAGAATGTATTGATAAAACTACCTCTAACAAACTGCTAATATAACTTTGTCTGCATTCGATGACTACTTCTAAAAATTAAATATTTTATGTTTGAGTAATTTGGCATTATAAACATAAAAACTGATTTGCTTGGACTGATAAAGTAATACTGAAGTACACAACTGTTATCTTGAAGTTCTGCTTCTGTGGCCCTCTAGGGTGTAGAGAGCCATAGAAATGGTTGTGGTGGGCCGGATTTGGCCCACAGGCCTTGAGTTTGACACATGTGATCTAGTGGTACTAACAAAAGAAAAATAAATACCAGTATGCAATTTATTTTACAGCAAAAGTGTCATCTGGTTTATTATCTTTGGTTCCAAAGAACTGCAACAGTAATGTTCAAAATAATTCATAATGCACGCTCAACAACAAGCAACAGATAAAATAACTTAGATGCATAAAAATAAATTAAATTGTGCAAAAACAGACAAAAAAAAAAAAAATTAAATCAAGGAAATACTCAACTAATGTAAATGAACAATTACTTGTAACCACATAAAATGGTTAAAAAAATTAAAGTTGAATAATTAGTTCTTAAAACTATGTAAATGTATGCAACAATTTGCAAAAGCTGAACTTAAAATATTAAATAGAATCATAGAAATCATTACTAAAAAAAAATCAGTTCCACTTAGGGGCCCCCCTAGTGGCCCAGGGCCCTAAGCAGCCACTTAGTTTGCTTATGCCTTGGGCCCTGCCAAACTTCTTTTTCTGAGACTGAACTTGGCGTGCTGCTCACCCGACTTGAAGTTCATCATTTCTGTGACAAAGCGGTAATCTGTGATGGTGAACTGAGAGAGCTCCAGTTTGTCGAGTCCGTGAATGTTTCTCTGACTGTCCGACCAGTGGTAGACGATGTCCTCTGAGGAGTAACCATCTTAAACACGAGAGTAAAAAAATTAATTGATTACCAGATATTTGGTAGCCTACAAATGTGCATTAATTAATGGAAATAAACGCTGATTTACAGCTCTCCAAATCCAGCATACACTCCTGTTCATCCATGGGATACTTGGTGAGGTCCATGTCACAGGCCACGGTGGAAGTGATTCTAGAGACACAACAGGGCATTACATCAAAACTCAATAAATGCTCTTTAAATTGTAAAGTTGCATTACTTAATGAATCGAGGATTTGCAAGACAAAGAAAGCAAAAGAATAGTTTGTACCGGCTGCTATAGAGAATGACTCCATTGGGCTGCAGGCGGATCAGCTTGTTCTCCACGGTCACGTCGTGAAACCAAGCAGATTTGGCGTTGACGATGAAGGTGTCGGGCAGCCACAGCTTGTCCACGAAGCGACTGTCCAGCCCCAGAGTCTTGTTGGTGTGATTGTAGGACAGGCGGTCATCGTGCCAGCTCTGCCGCAAGAACACGGTCATGGTGTATTCCTGCCGGGAACAACACGGTGCGAAGGAAGACGTTTTTTACCTGTTCTTAAATCAGCTTTGTGTTAAAAAGAGTTAATGCTGTTGTTTTTCTTTTGGCTTATTGGGGGTTGCCACAGCGAGCAAACACATGAGAAATTTAGCTGTTTTACCCCCGACAACCTGGACTCAGGATTAATTAAATGAGTAAATGAGTTATAAATAAATAGTAAATAAATTAAATTGTAAATGAGTCCTCGAGACTCAATGGGATTTACCTGTCTAAATAAAAGTTGAATGAATTAGAAAGATTTAATGAGAATTAATGTTTTTTTTTTTTTTTTGTGGTTTAAATAAAAAAACTATGTCTGACTCTATTTATCTGTTCTTATTTATTGTATTTTATGTCAAAGTTTATATTGCTTAACTTAATTTAATTGGCCAACTTAAATTAATAATTGCAATTGTGCTACATAAATTTGACATTAAACTTATTACATCAATGAATTTAAAACAAATCAATTATTGAACTGAACGGGACACAAAAGGATATTTATCTGGAGGAATGTTGTTGTATTTATGGTGTTTATCTCTCTTTTTACCCTTTATCTTAAACTTGAGGATGAGGAGCATTTGAAATAAAACCAAAGGGATGCTGTTTTCAAACAGGAAGTCGGTCCCAGCACTCTTTCCTTCTCTTTTATCTTCAAATGGTGTTCCTATTGAGTTTGTCGATTCTTATAAATACTTGGATATCTTGGTCGATTCACATCTCTCTCTCTTTAGACTCATGTCGAAAACTTGGTAAAGAAACTGAAAGTTAAACTGGGTTTCTTTTTCAAAAATAGATCCTGTCTAACTCTGAACACTAGGAAACGCCTTGTAACTGACTTTCCTTCCCTCCATTGATTACGGTGACATTATTTACATGAACTCTCCTACAAGCACCCTGCAGATGTTGGACTCTGTCTATCATGGTGCACTAAGATTCATAACTGGCTGTAACTACCGTACCCATCACTGCACCCTCACTGGTTAACTGACCATCATTAACTTCACACAGACTCTCTCACTGGTACATTTTCATCTTTAAATCATTTCTTGGTCTGCTGCCTTCATACATCTCCTCCTATGTGTCTCTGTGTGAGTGCAGCTACAGCGTGCACACTCAGGACATATTACTTATTACTTAGCACATAACACAGCTAACAGTACCATGGTGCCAACGGGACTATGTTGCTAAGAGAAACCTCACTACTAACAGTACTGTACTGTAGTTTATTGTCGTCATTGTTTACTGTTATTGTTGTCTGCACTTTATATGTTCTGTCTGGAACAGGTCTCTCTTGTAAATGAGTCCTCGTGACTCAGTGAGACTAGCCTGTATAAATAAAGGTTGAATGAATGAATGAATAAAAACAGTATCATGCTGCTAACTGGACCATGTTACTAAGATGACCTCACTATCATCAGAACCACTCTGCCAATAGGACCATGCTGCTGTACATTTATTTCTTTCTCACTTTTGGCACCTTGTTTTTGTATTTTTGTTGCATGCTTTGGTATAGACGAACCGATCTTTGAATATCGTGCTGCTGCTCGGTGTATTGTTTTGCACTATTAGTGACTAGCGTATATCTTAGATCTTTTAGTGTACTGTTGGGTGTTCGTTTAGCGTATCTTAGATCCTTACTTATTGTTTCTTTTTACACTTTATATTTGTGATATTGTTGGGTGTAATTGGGACCATGTGTACACAATTTCATTCCACCTCATGTACCACATGTGATGCAAATGACAATAAAGAGCCTTGACTTGACTACTTGCAGTGTTCCTTCTGTGCAGACTGAACTTGGCGAAAGTGCCTTCTCTTAATCCGCTCCCGTTTCCTGGAATATCTTGCAAAAAGATCTGAAGCTCTCAACCTTGACCTCTATAAAGGATTTTAAACAACTAAGTTCATGGCAAAAACCAACGCAGACATTTTCCTGTTTTTAGTATTTTACACCGCTTTATAATGTAAATGTTTTTGTTTAATTTTTTTATATAATTTCTTCCATTTATTTTTCATTTTATATGATTTTTCTTTGTTTGTCTACTGTTGTCATCATTCTTTGTTAAAATCAGGTCTCTCTTGTAAATGAGTCCTCGAGGCTCAATGAGATGAACCTGTATAAATAAAGGTTGAATTGAATAGAATTTTGATTGCTGAATGATTATTTTTAATTTCAGCAATATTTCTCTCCTTGTGAGACAAAATAACAAAATAAAGGGGGAGGTAAAATGCATAAAAGAATTAAAAAAATTGTCCAAACAAGTAATAAAAATTAAGAAACCTGCAACAATGGACCTTCTCTTGTGAAACACAATTATGATCAGTCTGTCATGATAAAGGTCTACAGTCTCTTGAGCTCTAGTGGTCATATTCTAAAAATTGACATTATTAAAGGACATGAAAAGGTTGGATCAATGTACACAATATAAATATTTCCACTAAATGTGTTTGTACGATGTAAAACCTGTAAAAGTATCAACAATCTGGCAAATCAATCAAAGTTCACACTGAGCACTTTTAAACCTTCAAGTAGTTTAAATCAGGTTTATGCAAACAGAAAACCTCTGATCTCAGCCAGGTTAAGTGATGAAACACAATGTGAGTGTAAAATAAAAGAAAAGATGTAACTTACCATGTTAGCTTCAGAAATGTGGTCTATGCTGGCCACTTCAATAGCCATGGCCACATTCACTGGGGGACCTGCAGAGGATAAAGTGAGAAAACACGGCAAGCCTGCCCCCTCTCAGCTCAAACACACACACACACCTTCTCTGCTCATGAATGCATCAACCCCTTACATCACTTCATTACCCTCCCACCCACCACCTTCCTTCATCTCAAACACTCCCAACAGTGCGTAAAAATTAAGCATTATCCAGTTTAACCATGCTAAGCGACACATCACACTGCGGGCGTTTCTAAACAGCACGATGCTCTCGCGGATCGGCACAAAGTAAGCTTTTAGACAACATCCATATATACACAGACACACAAACAGAGCCAAGTGTTTTCACTTTACAGTCCGCCGTATGATTAGCATGGAGTGTGTCCCAATGATCAGAAGCAGGAGTGCAAAAACTCCAGGGGGGCTGAGCGAAGCAGAGCAGAAAGGCTGTTCACCGTGAACATCAGGGAATCATTTGGTGCTATTCCACATCATTCAGCACCTTCCTAAACCCATTTCTGGTGCGTTATATGTCCTGTTGGCCTTTCACTGGATATATGAGGTGATTTAACGTATAACCAGTATTGTGTGGCAAAGTAAACAGAGATGCTGAAAGCAAAAACAAACAATAATGTTGTTAATGTAGCTGAGATTTATAACCCTCTGATGCATTAAATATACTCTTATTTGTCTGTTTGCAAATGATGCACTTTCTGCTTCAATGACTAGAGACTGGATGCAGCTCAATTAAGTCACTTGGACAAATTCATGCAAATTACAAAGTTTTTCATGCTTTTTATGTATTAGAAATAACAAACCTGATGGAAAAATATAAGTAACATTTTTGGATTTAATCACACAAGTCTGTCTGAGTATTTATAAATTTTGGGCTCATGTTGATTACTAAGTGCACAGAAAAAAACAAGGATAAAACAGAAACTTTGTTTTTTCCTCAGCAGAATTAGACTTATGAATATCCTTTTATTTGCCAAATGTAAAACATGGTGGCAATGCATCCAGGGCCGGCCCAAGGCATAAGCAAACTAAGGGCTGCTTAGGGCCCCGGGACCACTAGGGGCCCCTAAGTGGAATTGATTTTTGATTTGATTTTTTAAGTAATGATTTCTTTATGATTCTATTTAATATTTTAAGTTCTGCTTTTGCAAATTGCTGCATACATTTACATAGTTTTAAGACCTAATTATTCAACTTTAAATGTCTTTTTTTAACCATTTTACGTGGTTTCAACTAATTGTTGTTTTTTTTTACATTATTTAAGTATTTCCTTGATATTTTATTTTTTATTTTATTTTATTTTGTCTGTTTTTGCACAATTTAATTTATTTTTATGCATCTAAGTTATTTTATCTGTTTGTTGTTGATCTTGCTCTACAAATTATTTTGAACATTATTGTTGCAGTTCTTTGGAACCAATGAACCAGATGACACTTTTACTGTAAAATAAATTGCATACTGGTCTTTTTTTTTTCCTTTTGTTCCTTTAAGTACCACTAGATCACATGTGTCAAACTCAAGACTTGTGAGCCAAATCTGGCCCACCACAACCATTTCTGTGGCTCTTTACACCCTAGAGGGCCACAGAAACAACTTCAAGATAACAGTTGTGTGCGTCAATATTACTTTATCAGTCAAATCAAATCAGTTTATATGTTTATAATGCCAAATTATTCAAACATAAAATATTTAATTTTTAGAAGTAGTCATCAAATGAAGATAAAGTTATATTAGCAGTTTGTTAATATGTCGTTTTATCAATACATTATGTCATGTCTGACCTGTTGAGGACATTCATGATCTTAATGTGGCCCAAAATGAAAATGAGTTTGACACCCCTGCACTAGATGATATATACATATAGAATAATGTAAACAGGGCTGTCAGAGTTGCAATGAGTTTATGTTAGGTGAATGATCTGATCAGCTGACTGTTGATTGCAGTAATCCACATTATTAGCAGATATAGAGGACCCCAAAACAAATTTAGCTTAGGGCCCCTTGGAAGCTTGGGCCGGCCCTGTGCATAACCCCGTCTAGTTCAGTACATCCTCTGCAAGTACCGGGTTGTACCTGGCACTTAAAAGTTGTATTAATGTATTGCTACGTAGAAGATTAAAACATAATGAATTATCTTTGTACTCGTGTCACGTGTTCAACACAAATATAACGCTACATTCAGAGTAATGAGGCTTGAGCTGAATGAAAGGAATCACACCAAATAACAGATTTGATTCCCTGGTGGTCGCAGCAGCCCCGTGTTCTTGGTTCACCTCTCAGCACATTATACAGACACATTAATAAGAACGCATGATGCTGCATTATGACGCTCTGTGCAGAGCCGCAGCGCACACGACAGCGTACTGTATGTGGCCACAGCAACACTTTTCTTTTAGCCCCACATTTTCACTTCTGCTCAGCTGAGTTAAGCTGTGAGACTGAGAAATCTATCGCTGTGGTCATTGGGCGTTTCACATTTGGCAGCCATTCTTAGCAAGGTCTCTGGAGGGGAGCACATTGCTTGTGCCACCCCGTCCTCTCCAGCTTGTCCTTGAGGGCCATCGTCCTTTGTAATCCCTTTAGCAAAGCTCTTCTGCCTTTATGCTTTTATATGCGTGTGTCCTTGTCAAACAGTTCATCTTTTGGAAGAATCAAAGCAGGTGTTAGCATAATATAACTTTGTTCTAATGTAGTGCAAGGACGAGAATGAAAGCAAGTCACCTCAGGAGGATGGAATTGGAAAATAAACAGCGTTCCCGTGCTTGGAATGTGTTGATGCTAAGGATGGCTGTAAATGTGAGGGGGTGAACGGCAACCCAACACCACGAGCTCTAGATCTCATACTCACCTCCTATCCCAGGGCGAAAATTTCTGGCATAGCCCTTCATTAAATCATCCAGATTTGGTAACCAGGATATTTCAATGTCTGTACCTACATAGTCCCCAATGTCACTCAGCATGGCCCTAAAAGAGACAAACAGATACAACAGCCGTCAGTAGCTATATGGCAAAGCCACGTGTCACATATTAATAAAAACAAATCTAAATGTAACTTCCTAACAGCGTTTTCTCTATAAATATCACAGCTTGAATATTTAAAGGTTGCAGAGAACAAAAGGGAATGTCCTTTTGTCTTTCTTTTGATGAATGACATTTGTTGAGCACTTGGGTCACAGACAGACATCGACTGCAAACAGTCAGGACAAGATAAACCAAAAGCCCCTCCCAAAAAAAATTAGCGAAGCGAAATTAAACAAAACCAGAGGAACATTTCCCAGTTGCTAATTACATGAAGGCCCTAAAGGTCAAACGATGATTGGGCTTGAAAGGAGCGCAGCAGAGAGGAAGAGTCTTTTAAAAGCAAACAAAAGGAGGGGTTAGTGCTTATAGAAGGAGTGGAAACTGTAAAATGAAAAGTAATCTGATACGCATGTTATCACCAGAGTTATCATGAGTTCATCTGCCTGTAGTGTTAACAAAATGTTTCATGAATAAACAAATGGTTTTTAATGAAATTTAAGATCCTATTCACTGGATGTACATCTACAACAAATTACCTTTTAGAGGCAACCTAATTCAAGATGGCCGCCACATTTAAGTACCATAGAAAACACAAAAATGTCTCGCTCAGTCAATTTTACAAACGCTGAACTAAAATTGTGTGTGGTAGTAGCTGAGTATTACCAAAGTTCATGCTCAGTAATCCAGGTAAAAATCCCAAAATGTTCAGTCGGGTCATCTGGATGTTTCTTTTTTTGCTGAGACATTTCATCCTTTATCCAAAGGACTTCTTCAGTCTAAGGAGACACCAAACAAACTGATTTCCACAAACGGCATGTCTCACTAGGAGTCATTATGTCTCACTGCTAACTATGTAGTATGCTGTTTGTGGAAATCAGTTTGTTTGGTGTCGCCTCAGATTGAAGAAGTCCTTTGGATAAAGGACGAAATGTCTAAGCAAAAAAAAGAAACTGTCCAGATGACTTGACCGAATATTGTTAGCCGAGTATCAGTCACAAAACATACTCTAAACACTAAAAGATTGAAGAGACTTTTTTTTAACACTGCCATTAATCATAGCGTTCAACTCTGTCTTTGTTAGCAAAATATTGCATTAACTACTGAATGGATTTTAAGGTTCAAGATTCTTTATTGTCATTCACATCACATGTGGTACATGAGGTGGAACGAAATGGTGTACCTAAGTTCCCAGTTACACCCAAGAACAGCAAAACTACCAAGTATAAAAAGAAACGGTATATATAAAATATACACTAAACACTATTTATGTAAAATAATACGGTGTATTAAACAGCAGCCCGAACATGAGTTTGTAGTGAGCAGATGGGTATGAATACAGCAGCTTAAATCACCAATTAATGAAACTTACAGAAAATAATCTTTGAGCATATTTCTAGAGCTGATTAACTTTTGGAGTTGATTCAATTAAAGATGGCTGCCTCAGCTAATTCTAATTCAAATTCTAATTCAAAAATATTTTATTAATCCCAAAGGGAAATTAAATGTAATAATAGACCATAATAATAATAATAATAATAATAATAATAATAATAATAATAATAATAATAACAATAATTAATAGACCATAGCAAACAGAAAAAAGGTTTTAGCTCAATACATTTTACAAATTGTGAAGTTTATTGGGTGAGGTAGCTGACGGTCATCCTCAACACATTCTCTGGGTGCCATCGTTTCTCTGAGATTGCTCATAACATGATTTACATGTTTTGACTAAAACAGCTATAAGTCAGCTTGGTATTTAATTTATGATGGACTAAAGCAAAGTGTAAAGATTTTGACTTTTATAGAGAAAAGCTCTAGTTTGATAAACGAGGCTTGTCATCAGTCCACATTTTAAAACCATGCACACTGTTTAGATGATTTAAACATCAGGGAAAGCATGAGCACCCCCTGAATTATAGATGCAGGTTTTTGGAGCAGTATCAGCATGCATTTTTCAAACATTTTGAGATTTTATTTAACAAAAATAAAATGCCACGGAAAATCTGAGCTGAAAGAATGATTAATTAGCTTTCAAACAGGAAAAAAATAATTCAGAGTCCAAGTGCTTACATGTTTTTAAAAGAAGAGGAGGTAAACACGCCCCACTTTCTGTGTTTCAAGTCCATATAGAGTTTTATCTTTTCTACAGTCTTCTAACACATCAAACAAGCATGGGTAAAAAATTTAATCTGTTTAAAGTCGTATAACTGCAGATATTCACTTTGTTCATTCATCTGCTAAAAGAAGAACAGCATTTATCTCTTAACTTCTCCACTAAACTTACCAGCTTCATTTAATTTATGAAAACATTTTCTTGTGGCAGTTGGACCTTAAGACTGGTACAGCTGTAAGATTAATTAAATAAATAAATGTGCATCTTAGAAAATCACAAATTGAACTGATAGAAGTTGAAAGAGCATATTTTTATAAATCTTCATAAACCCATTCATGTAAAAAAAAAATTCACAACTGATTTATTATTGTTATTATTATTAATAGCAGTAATGGTAGTATTGCTGCTAAATTAGCTTCTGGTCTATTTTCAATTCTTGTTTTTGTTACATTATACTGAGTTTTTTAATTTTTTTACAAGTACTCAATAATGTGCTTTTGAATTAGAAGAAAAAGAAAAACTTTTACTGCAAGTGGTTATAAATAACACCCTAAAAGAGCATATGTTTATTATTCAGTATCCTTTTGTCAAATAAGAACAATAGTGAATGTGGTGCATTTTAACCCTTGTATTATTAACATAGTGTGTCATCTTTTAGTTGTTGGGTTTTAAAGCTCAGAACCACCAGATGGCAGTTTTGTCTTCTAAATCAGAACAGAAAACCTTCAGCAACAGCAATAAATAAAACACTAAAGGGAATAAAATCACATTGAAGTCACCACTGTGTCAGCCACAAGTAAAAGATCTGACTGTTGTTCAATAAATGAACAAACAAAAGCTGGTTGTGCCGTTCATCGGAGAAATGTGGGTGGGGATGACATTGTGCACAACCTGGAATGACTCTCAGCTACTACCACACCGAATATCAGCTCAACGCATTTAAAACTGTGCGAGTTATGGCTATTTTTGTGTTAGAGCCGATTAACTAGAGTGGTCACCTTAAAGTGGGTTGACCCCAAAAGTTAGTTCTCAAATTATTACTTTCTAATAGTTTCATGAAAATAGTTTCTATGATTGAGGAGATATTTTGCTAACAGATACAGTTGATTTCAAGATTTAATTGCTAAGAGTTAAACAGATTTTGTACGATCAGTGAGTGCTCAGGGTCTAAGTTGGGGATCAGTCTAAGCTACTACCACACTCAGTTTTAGCTCAACACATGTAAAGCTGACTTAGCTAAAGCCCTTTTTGTGTTTGCCACAATTGCTTTGCTGTGGGAGCCATCTTGAATTGGGTTAACTCCAAATATTGAGTTGTAGAGGTCAATCTGATGGTTACTTCCTGAAAGGTTCATTAAAATTGGTCCAATGATTCATGAGACATTTGGCTAATGGTAAACACTATGAACACACACACACACACACACACACACACACAGTGTATCCCTTTGCTTCTGGCAGTGAGCAAATAAAAGAAGAAAGAAAAAAGGGAAACACTAAAAAACTATTATATTTCTACCATGTCAACAACATTTTCTCTGTGGATTCATTCTGTAGTGGCAGATGTATTTTTAGTCTGGCAATCAACGAAATGGGAGCACTGGTGTAATAATTAATCACTCGGTGGCTCCTGGATTTCTTCACTAATTGGTAGTTTCTAAATCTGGAAGCAAAGAGCTTTTCCTTCCAGAAATTTGCACAGCGTGCTGCGAGTGCTGGAAAGGTCAAAAAGGCCTCCTCACATGGCCGATACGAGATGTTTGTGAGAAAGGGAAGAACCCAGCAAGCTCACAGTTTATTGTAATTTGGTGTGACCTTCATGAAACATGCCATACTTTGTGTGTACTGAGAGAAAAAACAAGTTTAGAGCAGCCATCGACAGCTTAATTCTAGCTAATTACTATTCATGTTATTCTGTGCAGTTTCCCAAAAACTAAGTAGCTTAAGCATCAATCTCTATGTAACGGTAACAGACATCAGTAGGGAAAGGGCAATAATGTTTTTGTTTGTGTGTGTGTGTATGTGTGTGTTCGTTTGTCTGTCCGATTTAGCAAAATGTCACGAATCACTGAACAGGTTTTAATGAAACTCTCTAAAAGTACTCATTAGCTGGACGTCTACAAGTGATTAACCTTTGGAGCTAATTCAAGATGGCTGCCACAACTTTCTGCAACAAACAGAACAAAAAAAAAAAAAAACATTACCCTACTTTTGTCATAAGATGTGTACAGGCTGCAAAATTTGCTTTCTGGGTTCACTAAACCTTTGAACCAGTTCATTTTTAGAGGCAAACAGTTGAGACAGTGTTCTTGCTGATGCTCCTCTTCTTTTTTTATGTTTTCCTTTCATTAAATGTCACTCCCAAGCCTGGATGTGCCGTCTGTTTATGAGTGAACATTAAACCGATGGGGAGACACAAAGAGCAGAAACTGTTTTCAAACCCCTCTTCTTGTGAATGTGATGTGCAGCTCTCAGCCTTATAAGTTTTATATACTGGTAATGCTGGTCACCTGTATTGGCATCTGTAAAAATGAGAATCATTGCAATAATGATCATAAAAATATTTGAATTAATGTCATTACAACACAACATCTCATGCACTACAATACCCTCGCAACAGGATTTTGTTTCATAAAGGTACTTGTTTAACAAAATGTAAATATGTTTTATGTCATTTGTCATTCAAAATACAGAGAAACATACAGTGCAGCTGTGATTATGATAATTTTGCACCACTCTTGGTTGATAGGTCAGGAGTGAACAGAGCCAACAAGTAAACTTTAGTGAAGTTATTGGTCTAACATGCCTTTAAGGAATGCACATCTCCA